CAAGCGCAGCGAGTGACCGTGGCTTGCAGGGGAGCCCGCAGGCCGATTCCGCCCCGCACGACTCGCGACCCGCAGGGGCCCCCAGCGAGCCGCAGGCGATGCGAGCACCCAAGAGCGCGAGCTCACTACCCTGCAGGCGGCAGCAGCCGCCGCCGTAACCCAACAGAGCCGCAGGCGCCACGAGCGCTGAACGCGAGATCTGCATTCTACCGCCTGCGAACCGAACCGCCTAGGCGCTCACGGCGCTGCAGTCGACCTCACGAGCGCACAGAACGAGCGAGCCAGCCGCACCCAACCCGCACGCCGTGCGGCAACTGCTCACCTGCAACCATGAGCACGCCAGCAAGCACCAGCTGCCGACAACCCGGGGTGATACTCGTCAGGACCATGCAGCTGGGGCGCCCGCTTACAACGAGCGCAGACCACTATGTTCAAGGTACGGGCACGTCTCATTTGACGTCTGCGCTATGTACTGACTAGGTGCTTCCAGCCAACCTTTGCCATGCCAAGACCGCGGGACGGTGGTCTGACCAGTGAACTCGGTGCGCCCTGTTTACTCAAGCAACTAACTAACATGTCAGCTTTGCGTCACCACGCAGCCCGTGCCCGCCAAACGTGAACAGAACGAGCACCGCCGCCGCGATAAGCTCGACACTACGACCACAAGCGCGCATCCCAACCAATACACAACCCGTATCTCTGAAAGTGCTCATCACACACCCCGGTCTGAGATCCGTCCATTTCCGAGTCGCCGTCGCACTTTCCGTACAACGACATTGGTCCCTCACCGCTGACTTTTGTCCACCAGATCCTTCCGCGCAATGCCTTGCCAGCCAAGTCTCGCCCTCCCATTGATTGCTTTCAACTCAAGCTCCTTCGCATCCCCTTCACTCGCGAAACAAGTCACTGCCGACTACTCCCTCACTGCGCCGCTGATCAAGATACACCACGAGTTCTCGGGCTTTTTGCTATCGGTCAGCGCCTTCCAGGGCCTCCCACCGAGCCGTAGACATTATGCTCGTGGCTAATCCCCGGTTCGTATACATGTACGTATGTAGACATTCAATCGCATTTATCAGCGTCAAAAGGGACCGGTAAAAAGCAGGGCTTGGGGAGTCGAACCCCCGAGTGCTGTATATAAAGATCCTCAGCTTCTATTGGTTGCACTGTGCACCGTGCAACCCTGGTCTCTTGAGAAGTGGAGCGAGGGCTGATACACCGAACTCCAAGTGTTTTTGATCGAAGCGACGGCGTGCTCCCACTGCTTTCGGTTCCTGGGGTTTTCGAGCGGAGCGAGTCTGAGTTTGGAGTCCGAGCCTGAGTATTTTCTCGCGGAGCGAGGCACAGACACTTCAATACCCAGTGTGTTCTCGCGGAGCGAGTCTGGGGCCGGACCTCGGGCCTGAGTATTTTCTCGCGGAGCGAGGTCTCGTTCTCGTGTCTGACGCCATCGCCATCTCCACCGAATGGAAAAAAAAGCTAAAATGCACTAAGTCGCGATCAAAAGTGGACTTGTGTTTTTTCTTCATCTCCAGTCTGCAAATCCGACGCCTGGAAGGCCAAAAATGCACTAAGTCCCCATCAAAAATGAACTTGTGCATTTTTTCCGTCCCGTCTTTCACGTCACCGAGTTTGAGCCCAATCAACAGCGTTCAATGCAGAGAACCTATTGCAAAAATTATCCACCCAACAAATGTGAGTCACCCTTTAGAGGCTAAATAAGCTCCTACCAATCGTCAACACCGAATCTAGGTTCGTGATCTTCTGAGATGTGTGCCAGGTGCAACGCGTGAACAATGGTTTAGCAAGTCGAAATTCCAGCACGGCTTCTTGGGTTCAACTCCCACAGGTCGTGATGAAGGAGTTTTAACCGGGTTTTTTGTCCAGGGGGATTGCTTGCTTTGACAATAGTTGTGATTTATATCTACACACTTTTCGGTGTTTCTGTCCACCCAGGAGCTTGACCCCGATTCTGAAACCGGTGGTGGAGAGTCAACCTATCAGGGATTACAGTTGGGAACTAAGACTACTCCACATCCGCGCGGACGTCGAACCTAGAAACAATAGTTCAACTCACCAGGGCCAAAATGAATTGCAAGGCTCCTCACGCCAACTCGGACGGAAAATCTGGGCAGATGATTAGGCGTCGAAGGAGCGGTACACAGTGCTGGGCTCAAATGGCGGTGCAAGGCTCGTGAGTATCTTAAGTCCCATTATAATCTTCCCGCCCGCTTACCTTGCATCGGCCTCGTCGCCGAGTAGGTTAGATGCGCCCTGGGCGTTTCAAGACCCTCGAGAGATCTACGGTTCAACTCCGCCAGCGGCGTTCTATTTTTCCAAGCCCCTCCCGCCCTCCGCTCCCCGCCTTATTTCGATCCAAAATTTGGGTTGAGATTGGTCAGCAGACGCGACCACGTGATCGCGAGGAGTGGCCTTGTAAGTCGTTCTGGGGCAAGAGATCACAAATCCCCTTTGTCCACCGCCGCCGCCGAATTGGCAGAACATTACACAGAGACGCCTGCCCGCGGCTCCTGGTGCACCTTACAATCAGCCGATTCAGACCCAAACGTTGTCGGTAGTGTAATCGTGAAGAGGCGCAAAATTATTCCACATTGTACTGCCGGGTTCGGCTCCCAGAGGGCCGCTTCCCGGAGGATCTTTCCCAATTCTGAAACCTTTTGATTCCTCGAGTCGGCTTTCTCTTTTTCACGCCAAGATACATCCTTCCCATTACTGATTGAATGGATTTCTTCAGCTTGTGCGATAATGTATAACAGCACCGGCCGATTTTTGTTTGCCAAAAGAAAAACAGACCTCGGAGTGAGTTGAACCCAAGAAGGGACATATTTATTCGCTGTGCGCCGCCCTGAGCCCGCGTGCTGGGTGACCCATGTATAAATTTTGTGGAATGGCAGAGTTCACATATCGACGGAGCCGTGATTATTTCCCTCGACGACACGTTCGTGACTTGGTCCGTGCGTCACATCGGAATCTACGTAAAAGCGGCCCCCAAAGTTGGGGCATCTTGTTCGACCCCACCATGCCAAGGGCCATCCGCGCCTCAGAGGCCAAATTTGCGGAAAATATCGTCAACCCCGCTGTGCGGGCTGTCATTACCGAAAGCTTCGTCGACGATTCGGAAACGGAGACCCACGCGCTTCGCACTTTAAAGAATCGACTCGCCGTCATAAACTCGTACAACACCTTCATCGCGCTAGCTTATCCGCACCTCGTGGATAATGAATGGGCCAATACGGACAAGGACCCGCTCGAAAGTAGGATCCATCCCCCCACACAACTCATACACGACTCTTACCGATTCCGCAGATCGAGCCCACGAGTTTCTTACCCAGCGCGTCCATAACTCAAGGAGCAGAGGTGATGCCACAAAGCAGATGAGTCTGAAGTCGCTCATGACCTTGCGCTGGTCCTTCTTGTGGTTGGTTCGTGATTATCCTTTCGTATTGGAGTTGTCACTGACGGTACATCTGCAGTGCATCGAAAACGGCAATGTCGACGAGAAAAAGTGGACGCAACTAACTTATCGTGTGAGTATCATCCACCATCCGCTCTTTCAAGACTCATACCTCTCCATAACAGTGGTGTATTGCCCTACAAGGTCGCTATCAGCTCCCGTCACTGCCGATGGATAGAATCCTATGCGGGCTCCAAGAAATCCGACTCTTGCTGGAGGGCGCTCTGACTAACCCAATCTGTTATGAAAATGTACCATTCCTCTTGCTTGATATCACATTATCGGGCTGATTGACCACCAATTGCAGGCTCTGCAACACGTTTGCGGGTTTCTCATGCAACACCTCTTCGGTCCAAGACCATCAAGCCTCTTCGTCACGCCGCCGTACGAGACGGCACTGCAACTCTTCGTACGTGTGCCCTTTCTCTGCAAGGTCCCCTTCGCTGATTTCGGGTGTAGTCCATCCTGCTGCGTCGCGGTCCGCGAAGAGGCCTGTTGGACTCTGAATTCGGGTTGACGGTCTTCAAAGGATATTCCAAAAAGAAGATCAAGATTGTGTATTGCATCCGGCCCCCGACGCTTCAGCGCCACGTCTTCATGTATCTGGCCGGGCTCATCGCCGCATTGGGCATCCGCCGTGGGGATTTTCGCGATTTTAAGACCATGCCGGAGCTGCTGGACGGCGAGGGGGATATCCTCCACTGGAAAGACCCGAACCGCTATTTCTTCCGCGCTGGAACGCCCGGCGGACGTTCATGCACCCAGGAAGCTATGTCCTCGCAAGCAGCGCGCGGGTACTTTGGAAAAATTGCTGGGATGGTGGGGATCCGTGGTCAGTTAGCATCGCCATTGGTTTACCGGCCACTCACGTTATCTAGGGACTGGGGGAACAACGATGAATACCTCCCCTTACTCGTTTCGCGCTAGCTTCGCGACGGTGCTGCTCAAGGTCGCCGGGCGAGAGGTGACCGCAGGCGCAATGGCTCATCGCGCGTCGTCCACCACCGTCTGCGAGAACTACAACGACGGGAACCGTCGCCTGGACTTCTTCGGAATCGCCACAGGCGAGGGACAAGTCGCCAACCTCCAGGAGACGCGTAACATCGCCGTGTACGCAGCCCCGGTCAACGTGCCCAAGCTTGATATCGACGGTCTTGTGGAACGTGTCCCGATGATCGCCATCCTGTTGAAACAGGCCAACAACCTGAGCAGCTGGTTGTCGAGGGGTGGTGAAGAGGCCTGGGAGGAAAAAGACTGGAAGGACCTTCTCGTACGTTCACGTCACCTTTTGCGTGTCTCGAGACTGAAATCTTTCCCAGTTTACCCAAGACATCCTTGACAAAGACGACACGCCCGCCTCCGTCCTCAAGTGGACCCTTGCGCGAACCAAGCGTTTGGGCTGAGTTGACCAGTAGCCCTCGCGCTTCTCTCGTTCCTGTTGCGACTGATTCAGACGGAACGGTGAGTCCCTGACGGGAAGAAAAAAACCAAAAAACATACATCCAGACATTTCAATGGACACATTTGTGTCCATTGGGAATTGAACCCAACACCTCTCGCAGCCCGATTATTACGTAAGCCGTGCTAAGCGAGCGTGATAACCAACTACACCATGTGCCCGGTTACCAAACTTCGTCGTGATAGGTTGGTGATAGGAAGGTGTCGCTAATTTCAAATTTAAATCGACAGACAGCGAAATGCAGAGCAAAAGAAGAAAAGAAAAAAAGGCAGATCATAAGTAGTGGTCGTTGCGTTTCCTCGCGCGGGTGATACGGGTCCAGTTTGCCTTAGGTTTGAGGGACGTTGATTCTGGAGGCAGCCCATACACCGGGAATCTCTTCAAATGGTTGAAATGCTATCCATACAGACATGCATGGTATGTAATACAAAATGCAGCATAAGTTACACCGACACCCCATTCAAAACGGTATATGTACTGATCATAATTTAACGCTCAAACAAACGCTCAAAACACGAGTCCAAGCTCAAGCTCAAAACAAGAGCTCAAGCTCAACGCGTCCACGCAGTGAGCGTCGCCGCAAAGCCATTCGGGTTCTGGCTCTGGTTCACCACGCCCGCGCCGTTGATGCTGAGCTGGAAGGTCGTGCCGACGGTCGCGAGGCTGTAGATCGAGATGGACGACGTCGAGTCGATGTTGAGGATCTGGCTCTGGCACGTGTTGGATGTCAGGCAGTCCTGGACGTAGTTCTACAAGGACGTCAGTCGCTCGGTTCGTAATTCAAAACGGAGAGAGAACATACGCTGTAGAAGCTGTAAAGCCCCGCTCCGAAGACCAAGATATCGGAGGACCCGCTGACGACTAGGCCCCACGCAGAGGTGACCCCACTCAGGGACGGATCGTGGAAAGCGCTGTTGACGGTGAATGGGCTGGGCGGGTTAGGTGCCGGTTGGTAATACGGCTGTTGAACTTTCGTCAATAAGAGCGATTATATTCGAAAGGAATCATCAATTACCGTCTCCGTCTGAATCAGGCCCATGTAGTGGTTTTTGGCGCCGACGAGGCTGTATTGATAGAGGACGTGATGTTCGGCGGCTGTGTTATCGTTAGACGAGTCGCAGAAAGAGAAGACAAAGAGAACTTGCCGGTCCCGATCATCCAGACGGGCCCTGCTGATTCCGAAAGAATACCACGGCCAGAGTACAGCGAAATCTGGCTCGTGCCATCTCCATCCAAGTCGTGATCTGCAAGCCACACTGCAGTTCATGTTAGCGACGACGAACACGTAAACGGGGATGCACAAACCCCAAGTGCCCTGCAGTTCATGTTAGCGAGGACGAACACGTGCACGGGATGCACAAACCTCCAGATAAGCGGTTGACGATGCAGTAAGGTGAAGACCAAGGAACGCAGCAAAGCAGTTCGGGAATCCACCACTTCCATCCGACGGGCAGTTTCCCTGAAGATTGGTCCCGGTAGCTTTTCGGAAATTAGCACGGAGCAATCAATTTTACATTGGGACCTACATCCACCGAGCCGGATGTGCGAATCCCACATTCCTGCACTTCCTTGCGAGGTCTCCTGTACATTCCACTCGACCACGATAGCACCCGGGCCTACGGGGAGATTGTATCAAGGAGAAAGATGACCTGGAATGGGTTTTACGCACTGGATGAGATGGTGGAGAAGATGATGTCGGTGATCTCGATGACACCAGAGGAACCCGGCGCGCCGACCTGGACAACGACTGAGGTAGGAAGACAATTAGTTGCCAATTGAAGACGCTTCCAAGTCCGGTTTCACTGACCTTGGGGGTTATTGATATCCTGGAAAGCCGCGCCCTTTCCTGCGATGACCGACCATGCCTCCCCAACCATCTGCGTCCCCGCAGGAATTTGGAGGGTGGAAGTCACCTGTTCGACGGCGGTAAATACAATGCACAGGTCAAAGACGAGTGGAACACGTACGACGTAAGTACCTGCATCGAAGAAAATGATCTTGCAGCCGGCAAACTGGGCGAAAATCGCCTTGAGAGCCGCGGTATCATCTGTTGTCCCATCTCCCTTGGCACCCTGGTCCCGAACGGAAACGAACTGCGAAACGGCGTAGCTATTGAAAACTTGTGAGCAGTGACTAATGAACCATGAGAGAATAGAACGTACGTCGAATATTGAGGGTGGGTTTTTCCAAAGATACGACCGGAGCTGTCGAGCAGAACGGCGGGTTTCGTGGGAGCGGCGAGGTTGTCCTGAGTGAATTGTCCAGTGGAGCTGGACCCACTGTACACGTTTCCTTGGCCCCAGGACGCGATCGTGGTCGTTCCGCCATTCAGGAGAACCGTACCGTCGGTCTGACCGACCGCAGTGGGAACGTTGTTCAACTTGATGTTGTTCAAAACGAGCGAGCCGGCACCGATGAGCTGTCCGTTGCTGGGGGACGACTTGCGTACGAAAATCGGGGTGTTGGACACGGTGGCATCGATAATTGCCTCCCCGCCCACGGTCTGACCAGTGAAGCCCCCACCGGTGGCCAAATCAAACCCGATCTGGCAGTTGTTGATGGTTATTCCCTGGAACGTCCAACCCCAGTTCCACGATCCAAAGATACCCGTGTTGGCGTTATTCACTGTCACATTCCGAACTGTGAATTGTTGGTTTCCGACCCACATCCCGAATTTGCCGCCGTTGAAAACGAGATCTCCCATGAATCCACCACTGCCATTCTCCATCCAGATACCTTGATGAGCAGTGTTTGGTGCGTCGGACATGTTTACCACGATATTCATCAAGCTGGAAGGACAAGCACCATTAGAAAGAGAAAAGAATCACAACCGCAGGTTCGCACCTAGTAGCTTGCGAGACCTGCCAATGAATGCCCGTTCCTTGGGAGAGCTGAGGGGGAACACTGTGTTGAGGGTATAGGTAAGCGCATCGCTCGCGTTTGGTGCAATTGCCCTACCGAGTGACATCTATCACAAAATTGCTGCGCATTATCTTGAGACGAGTTGCAGACGGAGAGAAGAAAAGAAACTTACCGAACTGAGCGGAAACTGCGACCTGGATGAGACTGGGTCCGAGGATGATACCAGGAAAGCTCACAAGTTGTTCTGATCAGTGTAGTATTCGCCTACACCGGGAATAGTAGGATCGGCGTCTATTGAAGGTAAGCCATCAAGCATACTTTCCAGCACATTGAGCGAACCTATGACGGCGGTGTCACTGAAACTGGCGGCTGCCAGCAACGTCGGTGGGGAGGTCGCATCTCCGATCAGGCTGGTCCTGGTCAGCATTTTATCTTGCGAAAGTGGGGGTTTTCGCACTGGGTGTAATAGTAGGGCAAAATCGCCTTCGAAACGAGATATGTTCTGTGCCACTGTTAGCTGGGGGAAATATCGACTTGCACAAGTTGATACGCACCCTTTGGGAAAGTACACGACAGCGGGAGTGAGACTGATACGCTCATAAGCTTTTTTGACTAGCCAGATTAAATTGTACGAACGTCGAAGATTTGCAGACAGGCGTTCCTCCGCATCGGCTTCCGGTGCTGATCGCCAGGCTATAGAAGGTCTGCTTTGAATGTACACCCTAATAAATGGAGTAAAGGAGTACTTGATGGCTGCGGTGTCGTCCGTAACTCCGTCTCCCTACAGTCCATAATCAATTTGGAGGACCAATGTTGCAGGTGAAAAAATTCCTCACTTTGGCTCCGAAATCCTTCACATTCCTGAAGACTTGGTATGATGACGGGTTGGCGTTGAAAGCAGAAAGCCCTTGATGTTTAATGCTTTGCATCCAAAACGGGTCGCCCGGCGCGGCACTGGAAATAAAAGTCAGTGTCAGTTACAGATCGTTGGTGTAGGTGAGCCTGCCACATACGTTCCAGCCCCGAGGGGAGCCGTGCAAGACGTGCCCAGAGATGAAACCAGCGGTGCAGAGCCAAAGGCCATGCCCATGGCGGTCAGAAAAACAGTCGGTAACATGCTGGATGGGCCCGACAACACAAGAGCGCTAGTTTTATATCGACCATGGACCGGAGGAATCTTTCCACACGCATGGTACCTGCGGTTGCTTCCCAGACAAACGCGCAAAATCACAAATATCACCTTCCATTTCAGGACGCGATCAGGATGATCAGCAACATCCGAGGTCAGGAGACGCGAAATAATCAGCACGGAAAAAGATAGAGCATGGTCACTCGGGATTTGCGCAGGGTTTGACGTCAGAATCTTGGAATGTCATTAAGGCTGAGCCTCCGAGCCTCCGGCACTGAGTCTGAGGTTCCTGAGGTTGCATGCGCCCCGGATTCGGAGTTTCAGGGTGGATAAGACTGCTTGTGGATAAGACTGCGTAGGCAGCGCAGCTTTCACCTGCTTCTCCGGGTATGGATTACCGAGGCGCCGTCGAGGGACCAGGAAACGACGATGTCACATCTCTGGTCGAACAGAAGGCTAAGTCAGTTTTAAAACGGGCAATCAGAAAGATAGGTGGCCGAAGATGCAGAACGACGAGGACGACGCTCGCTTTGGTATTTCTCGATGAGCGAACGACAGCTATTACAATAAGCGACTGCGACGCTCGTCATCGATTAGCTGCGCGACTGGCGGCGGCCTGAGAAACAGGTTAGATCGGTCTCGTACGACGATGCCAGACGCACTTTCGCTGCTAATTTTTACTGGCCCATTCCGAGTCTGGATATAACTCCTCCTCTAATGTTATCCCTACGCAAAGCAGCGGACGTCAGACCTCACGCCTGAGAGCCCCGGGCCAAAGAACGCACCAAGCTCCTCCCGGACGCCCTTCAGCTCCTCTAAGTATTCCTGATACTGCTTCTTGTTCTCCACCTTCACCTTGACACCGTTGAAGACGCGCACGGCAGTCGCAAAGTCATCCACCCGCCTCGACGCACGCACAGCGGCTTCTATTACCGAGGGGGCCGGGACAAGATCGTGCGCAAAGCAGTTGTTGAGCCCGCGCTGGACCTCGAAGATGTCCTCCGCCTTGTTGAAAAATTCGACATAGCGCTCCGTGAAGGATTCGAAGGTCTCCTGCGGGTGGTCGCTGTATAGGCGGGTGCGAGGGACGGCGGGCAAAGTTTTGTGCGCGATGGTTGAGCGCACGGACGCGCGGAGAACGCTGGAGAGTACGCGCATCATCGGAGAAGG